TATTGTAATATGATTATGTCAGTATGTCAACGGCTAAGCTTATCGCGATTCACAACAACACAAGTAATTCTTTATAACATAGATAGCGAAAATAGTATATGTTCATTAGTATATGTCGTTTATTTTCAGAGTGGTACATCACGATCGGAACGTGTTAATAATAATTATTGTTATTATTATTTATTATTACTTAAGTTGCATTAGATAATTAATTACTAGTTAAGAGAATATATTTAGAAAAAAAAAGTAATATAAGGTCTCTCATAATAAAGAATGTGATTTGCTAAGTCTTAGTGTCGCAGTAGGGGTTGTAGAAAGTGATATTATACCATGAAATTTGTCCTAAATGATTTCTCGATAAATTGACTTTCACAAATTTAACATTTCGTCGTAATATTATACAGTATGTTTCTTAAATCGGCACGAACTTAAAAGTGCGAGAATTTTTCTGATGATTATTAGTAGAACCGATTTTTTATTTTCGTAATTAATTATTATTTCTATTTAATGCGTGACCACGGTTTTTTCGTTCGTTTTAATTTTAAGTGATTTTTTTTACTGTGGAACAGTTGCCTACCCAACAACGGGTATTGGTCGTAAAGACGAATCACCAAAATCATTCGAGTTCAATTAGCACAGTACGTGTATTGCTTACGAAAATTTGACGCGATGCAGCTCCATCTAAAAGTTTTGTTCGAAAAATTATGCGGAAATTTGGAGGTACAGATACCGTGACCTCCGGCACCGGCACCGACACCGAACCGTGAATAAGAACCGGCCTTTCATAATACTGGCATACAATTTGAAAATAAAAAAGTATATAATTCATATAAATAAAAGACGTCCTAGGATAATATGGACGGTTGCCGCCAGGTATACATATGGCAATTACATGGCTACATTAATGTATACCGGTGAACAACGATAAGCCATTGCTTACGAAAAAACGATTCTGAGAAAGAAATACAAATGAAGATGGTGATGACTTGTCAACAGTATATTTAACATATGATATTAAAATAATTAAATATGCTTTTTATATTTTTTTAACAATATTTGTTTAATATTGTACCGATTTTCCAGTTTTTTTTTATGAATTCTTCCCGTTTTAATAATTTGCTGAGAGAACTGCTAAGAAAATCGAAAAATAACTTCTTTATAGTACCTTTCCAGTGAAATTTCCTTTTTGAAAAATTGCTACAGTTAAAAGTTGGAGCAAAATTACTGATAGAAAAGCTGTCTCAGAAAAAAAAAATGGCAATAAGATACTTAAATATTTCGTACATTTTCCCGTTTTCCCTATATTTCTTTCG